ATCAGGCTAACAGAGACACCCCCCTAGCATAAGTCTTCCCTGTGTGTGACACGTGACACTCTTAGGCTAAGTCAGAACAGCAGTTAATTCTCTCATGTAGCTCTGTCTCACACGTCTACGTCTGCTACACGTGGGCTTTTAGCTTTTAACATTAAGGATTTGCGCCGACAGGCCGTGATGCCAGTTGCGCAATTTGGCAAAGCGTGGGCTGTTACGTTCCGTTTCAAACCTTTCCCTGTGGCGTGAAGAGACAGAGAGAGGAAGGGAGGGAGACAGAGAGACAGGGAGAGAGACAAAGAGGAGAAAGAAAGGAGGGAGAGAGAAAGGGGTTAGGGAATATGGCTACCACTCCCCTGCCTTATAACTAGGGCTATGGCAATTTATTTGGATTTTTCTTCAGCTTTCAAACCAGTGCAAAGCTGGCGGGGTGATCTTTTTTAGAGTGAGCATGAAGGGTTTTTCAGCTCTTCATTTCTGAGCAGTAATAACTTCACAGTCTTTGAATTATGCTCGGTTTGACAAGGCTGCTTTTGCTAGAAACCTAGTGTAACGCCATTGCTTTCTTGCCAGCACATTCTCTCAACTATCCTTCCACCTACTGAGCGGTTAGTGAAAGTTAGCTCAGTTCAAGTGCTAAATTAGCACGTTTTCCATTCTCAATTCCTAAGTAAGCCTATACCCTGTCCTGTAAATACCAGCCGCCATGAATTTGAGTAGTATTTCTATAGATATGTACACACACACACACGAAAACACGTATCAGCTAGGCTACAGGAACTCCCAAATTCATTAGGTGTTGATATCTACATAAATATGACTGGTCACTTGCACTTGAAAGCAGAATATCATGGGATTTTCAAAAGCACAGTCCTATGGAGTGACTCATAGAATCACAGAACCGTAATGGTAGGAAAAGCCCTTCAAGATTGAGTCCAACCGTAAACCCTTCAACACCATGCCTGTTAAAGCACGTCCCTCAGCACCTCATCTACACGCTTCTTGAACACTGCCAGGGGTGGTGACTCCACCACTTTTCCTGGGCAGTCTGTTCCAATGCTCAATTACTCTTTCCATGTACAATTTTTTTCTAATATCTAACCTGAACCTCCCCGCTGCAACTTGAGGCCATTTCCTCTTGTTCTATCAGTAGTTATTCTGCAGCAGAGATCAATCCCACACCTCACTACACTCTCCGTTCAGGAGTTGTAGAGAGGGATAAGGTCTCCTGAGCCTCCTCTTCTCCAGACTAAATAACCTCTGCTTGCCCAGCTGCTCCTCATAAGATCTGTGCTCCAGCCCCTTCACCAGCTTTGCTGCCCTTCTCTGGACACATTCCAGCACCTCCATGTCTTTCTTATAGTGAGTGGACCAAAACTGAGGTCAGTATTCCAGGTGCGGCCTCACCAGCGGGAATGAGCACTTCCCTGGTCCTGCTGGCTACACCGTTCCTGATGCAAGGCAGGAGGCTGTTGGCCTTCTTGGCCACCTGGGCACACTGCTGGCTCATGTTCAGCTGTCGACCAACACCCCCAAATCCTTTTCTGCCGCACAGCCCTGCAGCTGCTCTGCCCCAAGCCATTAGCGTTACATGGGGTTACGTGCAGGATGTGGCACTTGGCCTTGTTGAACCTCATACAGTTGGTCTCAGCCCATCGATCCAGCCTGCCCAGATCCCTCTGCAGAGCCTTCCTACCCCTCAAGCAGATCTACCCTTCCTCCCAGATCATCTGGGTGTCATCTGCAAACTTGCTGAGGTTGCACTCAAACCCCTCATCCAGATCGTTGATAAAGATATTAAAGAGCACCAGTCCCAACACTGACCCCTTGGGAACACATCCTGTGAATATCCCCCAACTACCTTTTTACTGACAAACAGAAGCACTTCAGTTGCCAAGCAGTGTCCAACCCTTCTCACAATCGACTCTTGTAGATCATTTAGAGTTTAAACTCACGTTTTGCAAATAAAAAGGCTAAGATGAGAGCATGGGATGAGAGCACAGACAGAGAGAGAAAAGACAAGTGTATTAAAAGGAATGAAAAATATAATATTCTTATTTGCAAATATATTTCATTCATTGCAAACAAGGTATTTTTCCCTCACCATTTAAACCCAAATGCACCTTAATTGTCTTAATAGAGCAGAACCTGAGAGTGAAACTGGGCAAACAGAAAAGGGCAGCCCAGGCTAGTTTTACTCAAGTTGAATAATGGACAAACGAGTAAGAGTGTCAACAAATCCATTGATAAATCTATATCTTCTAACAACACAACGTCATGTAAGTAATACTCCTGAAGGAGTCTTATAGTTTTAACTTTTATGTTTTTACATGATGAGAAAGTATATATTATTCCTAGCTGAAATCTTAAAACTTGAGAATGGCACTTTATTTTTAGAAATAATTTGGAACATACTAGCTATAATAGGTCTTGCATCAAGTTTAAAAATTCTCTCATTGCTTTGAAGATATAATCCCTGCATTCAAGGAAAAGGTATAAAGAAACATATTTGAATGAGATACTTTCCTTGAAAATATCCTGTAACAATCACTAGAACAGTGAAGTTCCCACAGCAAATTATGATCTTACATATGACTTCAAAATATCAGTAATGTAAGCAGAAGACAGTCATGCAATGAACTCATCAATATGACCTGCAAATAACATTGACACCTGAACATTCCTGAGCATTAGAGGTCCTGCTGAGCATGTCATGAAGCAGTAATCCAGAAGTATTTCTACATAAGGAACACCTCTCCCAAAAAGCTATTAATATTTTTCTCTTTTTCAAGCATTTGAAAGAAACTTGATCTCCATTTCATGCAATCCTCCCTGACTACACTAGCAAGCTCACACCAGGAGACAATACAAAGCACAAGACAGTGTGCTCACAGCATGCTCCGAGACCAAAACATTCCATCCAGTGAAGTCTCTGGCATTATAGGTTTTTGGACATAATTTTTTTCTAGACTCCCAGAACAGCAGAGATTTAATGCAACAGTGCCTCTTTAGAGAGCCACAGTCCCACGGACATGTCTTGCATTTGGGGGCCCAGCGAACTATGCAAGTGATCCCAAACTATGGGCAGGAGGTGCCCAAAGAAGGGGTGGTTGTACAGACTGCCTGGAAAAGTCAATAAAGAGAAGTTTCTTCTCCATTATTGTGATAGGCAAGAAGAGTTAAGGGTAGAAGGAGCAAAATCAGACACATAGAATCCAAACTTTTACACAGCTAAAATATCACAAGTCTGTCTCCAAAAGGTCTGAGAGACAGAAGTCCCGTAGGGCCCGAGGTAGTAATGACAGAGGCAGTCATGACACTCATAACGACTGGTGCTGTCAACTTTGCAGGTGACATATGTATGATGGATGGGTCTGGACACCAGGCCACCAAGATGGGGCACAAGCACTAATTAGCTGAACAAGAGGCCTCATTTCACTCCTTGCATCAGAGCTCTTGCCAATAACACTGTAACATTGTGCAAATACTTTATATATACTCTTTTTTTTTGGGCCTCTATGATCCATGAATGCCCTTAACATTCTTCACATAGTGTTCAGCAGTACTTAAGTGTACTCAGACTCCTGTAACTGTCCCGGTCAAAAAGGGTAACACAGTGATAGCTTAAAACTGTGGACAACGTGCCGTGTACCATGGATGTAGTCACCTACTCTGAATCAAGTATGCCATTTGTGGTGCCTTTGTTGATTAATCATTTTTAATATATGCGATCCCACGTTAAGTGTTCAGTATCTGTTATTTTGCAAATCCACTAGAGCTAAAAATTATTTCTTCAAAACTACATATTGCTCTCAGATAGGTATAAGGGGGACTCTCACGTTCAACAGAATGTTTTAAATACCATCATAATGTGCTCTTGCACACATGTATTACTACATCAAAACATATGATGCATAATATATTTAACAGGAATTAGACTCACACATTTGAGAAAAGCAAAAAAATCATGACAGATGTAATGTCAAGTCTGATGTCCAGACACCTACTGATGAACTTCTGTGAATGACACTGGAAGCTTTATAACAAACCTAGCAAACTGAATGTACACTCATAGTATCTTCAAAGAGAAGAGAGCAGATACCTGTCTTACTGACTCAGTATTTGTAACCTGCACTATGATCAAAAGCAAAAACACATTATCAAGTCACATTGCAGGAGATAAAAAAAAAAAAAAAGGGAAAAAAAAAGCAAGGGGTTGAGTATCATATACATCCCTGACAGCTTCTTTGAGTAGCTAACCCAAGATTAGAGGTATGCAAATCAAGCCCACATGCAGGATGCTCCAATTAAACCACAGTTCTTAAGCTGGACACAGGATCCTCTAATAAATCTATCCCCAGGCAGTGAAGGACAACACTAGATGATTTTAAGCCCTTAATGTCTTCTAACATATACCTTTGTATCACTGTTATTGGTAGAACATCTGAAAACTGACAAACATATTTCTCAGCTAGCAAAAGCAGTCCTGTGTTCTCAAATTCTACATTACAGAAAACAAAAGCAGATGATGATTATGGACATAAATTGAAAAAACTGCTTTACTGTTTCATTTCTGATGAATCAAATGCCAATCACAGGATCATCCAAATAAATTGCTCATAAATTTCAACACCATCACAATATTAAATATTTTAATCCAGTTATAGAATAAGTAGTTACACAGGCTTGGTTTTAGAAATTCATTACATTCACACTCCCAATAAAGTAAATGAAAATTGCATATGCAGAGAGCTTTAAGATTTGAACACACACCTCAGGATTTTTTCATTATTTTTCTTAAATACATGCCACTGTTACCCTTTTGATTCAAATGCCTCTCATGATAGCATTTTGATTTAGTATTTTTTATGTAAATATGTTAGAATATTTTAAGACAAAAAGGTAGTTTTGCATCTACTTATCAATGCTGTTTTAAAGCATTATTTGATTACCAGGAAGGGGGGGAAAAAATAAAAAAGTAATTCCCACAATTAGTTGCCTACCTCGATCTCCTCAAGGCTTCTTCATCTGGATCTTGCACTACAGATTAAAAAAAAAAAAATTTGATAAAAAATGGCAAGATTAAATTCGTGTTTAAAATACAAGTTCTTAGAAAAATATCACTGCAAAGCCTATTGAAAGATATATGCTTGCTGACTTTGTAGCAATGGATTTTTCTAAAAACAGTATGAACAAAAGCAGTTCCCTAGAGCTCACGAGGGGACTAGATAAAAAGCAGCTATTCCTTTCACATTAATTTACTAGCAGACTTGCACATCTGTAGGCAATGAACCTAGAGGGAGGGCCCTCTGTTTTGTAGGAAAGCATCCAAGGCAGTGGCAGATTCAAATGCTGAAAAAATGAGGAGGAAATACTGAATAAATATTTCCATTCTCCTGAATTTCTTTCTTTCTGGATCAGAAACAAGATCTGAGTTAAGTACTAAATGGCCAGAAAAGCACTTCCACAAGCAAAAAAGCAGTTGATGCTCCCAGGATATTCACAGATCATCTCTGTCTGGATACAGTTGCTAGGAAACCCAGGTACAAAACAAGTGATAAGATGGGTATTTTTGACCTCAGAAAGTCAGTTCTATAGAAGTGTTGTTACAAGGGACATTAAGTCGTTTATCCCCTTTCTAACAAACTGACAGCTCTGCACATCTCACCTGACTAGAAAGTGAAAAATTACACTGTGTACATTAGATTTGCAAGGAGGAGAAACTATTTGCTCTCAGATACTCTTTTAATGTACAGTCTGCTATTCTTTTATGGTGATGCCCATGGTAGATCAATGGATTTTGTAAGTAAAATGCAAGGTGAAATCAAACACTTCACCTCCAGTTACATTCAAGGTTTTCTGATCTTCGGCATCATAGAAAATGACTACAAGCAGGACGTGAATCAATCTTGGGTATCAGTTGCTAATACTAAGATAAAAAAAAATTAAGACATGAATCCAAAACCATGGATGGGGGGGATGTTTTGCTATTTGACTTACTGTACTCTGTTCCTGTCATCTGGGCGAGGATGCGGAAGGACCTAGACTGCAGATTGGCAGAACGGCGACTCCAGTCTTCAGTTTCATCCTCAGGCTTGTTCTGAGTCTTAAGCACAGCCTGATACACTGGAGAGGCACTGTCTACATGAGGATCTTTAACTGGAAGAGTACTGCAATTCACAAAGCGCAACGTTGTGAAACAGCACACGGTGGTGTCTTTCACCCCAACCTCTCTAATATTACAGTTTCTCATCCAAAAAACACCAACCCAAAATACTGCTTTGAAAAAATAGCAGTTTTCACAAAACAAAACACAAATAGATCAAACTGCCATAGTCCTGTACACATAATCTGTTAAACAGGTGAAACTTTTTAAAGATGAAATCTAAATCTGTACTCACACTCCTGCATGGTATCTTGCATCTAAAATCTTAAACAGCACAGTGTGCCTTAGACTCTTACGATGCCTTGATCACCTTGCACCATGACATTCAGGAGAAAGCTTCGATGTTATACATCTGAAGCCAAAGTATACAACTGTACATAACATGAGCTCAAGTAACTTCTCTGACTTATGACACAAGCTTGAAGTAGACTTAGTAACTTAAGTGTGTGTGTGTGTGTGTGTGTGTGTGTCAGAGAAAATAGCTTTTGCACAGCAGTCATAATTAAATTTTAAAAGAGCTGCAGACACACTCAGGGCATGATGTGTGCAGTCGTATAATAACTCTGCTCCATGATTCTTCTAAATGCAAGATCTGTTCTGAAAGCAAGTGATTTATTGTGACTGCTTTAACATGCTACTTTGTGTAGAGCCTTGCAAGTACCATGTTAAACCTAATGAAAACTGAGAAATGGCTCTGTAATAAAAAAAAAAAAAGGGCCATATGGTCTAACAAACTCAGTGCTATAAAATTCAGGGAATCTGTGCAGTCACTTGTCATAAAACTCACTTCTACAGTTCAGGGTCAAACTCTATATTTTGGAAGACATGACTGTACATGAAAATCTACAGCAAACCTAGGGTTGTGATTTGAAAACATGAGAGGACTCATGGAAAAGCCAAAAAGCGTCTGATACCTTACGTAAAACAGCAACATACACTGTGCGGAAAAATGAAACACACTATTAACTATTCTAGCTCAAACACTCTGTCTGATAGATGTTGGCTTCTGTACCACACAACATAAGCTGTGTCAATGGATCTGCAACTGCACAGATCACGAGGTATTTTTCATGTAAGAGTGCAAGGTGGTAAGGAACTTGATGTGTGCTTATATAAGATGTGAAGCTGTAAGCACATATCACACTCAACTCTTGCATAGTATCTCTTTAGAATATTTTTATAAGAGTATTTCTACTCTTGATAAGCCCCAGCATATGCAAACTTCTCATTTTCTTGGGGATTTAGCTGAAGTTCTTTTTCTATGTTTTGATACAACAGCCTACAAGATGGAGCCTGGCTTAGGAGAAGAAAAAAAGTAAATTGTAAAACAAAACAAACAAAAAGTAGATCTCAGCAATGTACGTTCTGACACAAAACAAAAATATAATAAAGTCTCTCAACTTGGAAGATGCCCTGTAGGGGGAGGCATTTTTCTTCATCAGCTCCTTTTTTAGCTTGTGTTTTCCTATAGCACTGTATTTATCATATCATGGGGATTTATTTATTTAGGGAAAGGTTGCTGATGAAACATGCACCATCGGTGGTTTCCAATATTAGTGCACCAATTATGTAGAGTAGATCAATATCTTTCTTTATCAGATGGAAGAGGGATAAGAAATCAGTTGTTTTCTTCTTCTGACCCCCTTGTACAAGGCAGAAGGGCTTCCTGAGGCAGGAAAGCATAACACACTTCTGCCTTCTATTGACTTAATGTAGAGACAGTAGGGATAGTCTTCATAAGGAAGAGGGAGGGTCTGTAATGTTAACTGAAAGAAAGTAAACAGCCCTCTTAGAATTATTCAGCTGCCACTTCACACTTCTTGGCTGCTGCTGAGAGGCTCTGTCATTGTGAGAGGGCTAGGAAAATTCCCCTAAAATACGATGTTTTGGGTGACTGCCCATTACTGCCCAATAGTTGATCATCTTTTTATCTCCAGACTTGCATTTTAAACCTGATGAAACTTATAACATTGCTATATGTGATGGCACATTTCAAAACTACAGACTGTTGCAGACTGGACAACAACCACCTGGGTAAGTAGTACTGCTGATTTCAGCCAGGTATTACCGTGGCAACAGTGGTGTGTTTGTCATGCACAGATCAAATTAGTTTATGCAAATATTCTACTTAGGCTACTTGGTTCCGTGAATTAACCTTTCCTAGCAAAGGAAGCACCCTTCTGCAAGCTGAACTATATTAATGCACTACATTGGAATATTTACAACTCTGTCTTTAATGCAACAGGCTATACTTTTTTTTTTTTTTTAATTATTATTACATTATAGATGAGTAGATTACAGTCTAGATGAGTAACTAAGAAATATGACCTACTCAGCATTCAAGTGTAAACTACAGAGCATGACTGATTATGACCATTTCATAAACCCAGATGTGATGGCTCATTCTTTCCGTCAGCCTTAGGATGCACATAACAATGTTAATAAGTGGCTGTTATATCTTTTCCTATTTTTTTCCCCAATCTAGTTGTGTATGTGCAGAAATATCACACACCTTAAACCTACTTCTTCAAATAGACGCAACTGAAAATCTGCACTGGAATTTTTGAGGGGTTTTCATGTCCTATCCTAAGGACATGCGGTAAAACTAAATTAAAACTGAACCACCTTTGCATATCATAACATAGATCACATCTGTATCATAACTAACTAACATTAAAGCAAGCTTTCAAGACAACCAGACATCTTTTGGTAAGCAGCAATGCGATTTTTGCTGGCAGTTCACCATAAATTATAGCTTACTGCATGAATCATTTCTGGAAGTCATTACTCTGTTTTAATATAATCAAGTAGTTAATTGATGAATAAAATCAAAGTGAGGGCTACAGTGTTTCATCCTTGATGTAGAAATACAATGAAACATAGTAACATTGGGAATTAAACTAAGTTCAACTAGGACTTATAAAAAGTACTAAGGGAAAAACAAACAGATTCACATAGATTGGCAAATTATCCAACCAAAATGACTTATTTTAAATTAAAAACAAGACTTTTAGTCACATTATTGATTTTACTATTAGAACTGTCCAACCTTAATCCTAATAAAATTGTTGGGTTTATATCTGATAAAATGATTTGTGAATTTGTCTGAAACGAAATAAAGGAATTTAAAAGAGGTTTAACAGAAGTATGGATGAAATGTCTGACCACACAGTTCTATCGACAACAACTCTTGGTTCTTGGTATATCACAATAATTTAAGCAAAGCAACACAGAATGAGAAAGCTAGGGCATTGTACCTTTGCTTAAATTCCAGCATAAGGTCTAAATAACTGCAGTATAAATAATTTAAATTCTTTCCTTTATGCTTTCTTTAATGATTCAGTACGTGTGGGTTATTTTCTAAGCAACCTGAGCAGAATGTGATCTCACTAGTACCATGTGGATGGCATGAGCCTGAAGCATCAAACTAGAAAATGACTCCTCATTCCAAGCTTGTCCATTCTCTTTCACTGAGAAGTAAAGAGTGTTTCAAGGTATTGCTAAAAAGGAACTGAAACTCTTTCCATCTGTAATCACAGGATGTTTACTCCTTTATGTACCACCTTGTGGCTTCAGAATTTATTGTCCTATGTAAAGGGAAAAGCCTTAAAATGAGTAACTAAATGTTGAGGCCAAATTACAGACAGAGAACTGAGACTAAATGAAATCAATACACAATTTGATTTGCTTTTATATGACAGACTTCTCATAAAATTATTTCTGCATTACATATACTCTGATCTCAGACCCGATCAACTGTTAAGAGTTCAGAATATCATGGGGCAAAGCAGCACGTTAAAAAAAACGAGCTATAGGTCTGCTCAAACCATTGAAGATGACTCAACAGGTAAGCCAATGTTTTATCAGGGAGAATGGTATGAACTTTGCCTTTATATCTAGAATGTAAAGTGCTGTATTATTAAACAATACAATCTACTGGGAAAACTGTTTACCACTAAGCAGGGTTAGGAACTGTATGCAAAGAATAACGTTTCACAAATATTGTCTAATATTATGGCAATAACTATCCTATTTCAAAGCAGTCATGAGATATGTGAAGTCCAAGCTCAAAACGAAATAAAGAAGTGGCATTTAATGCAGCTTTGGCTGCCTTGGTGCAAAGACTCAACAGTTCATACAAACCTGATTTTTTTTTTAAACTATCCATCTATTTCATTTAGCTCTCTGATAGATGTACTTAATACTTTCCCATCATTAGGGCGAATTGTGATGAATCCAACCAAACAATATTAGTATCAGAAATTAGTAGAAAAAAGAAAGAAAAAGAGAATAAAATGATCAGAAAAGGGAACACAGGAAAATACACAGAATATCAACATATTGAGAAAGCTGGTAGTCAGCACCTTTATAAGAAACTATATTAGAAAGTTCTGCTGTACTTTTTTTTCTCAAATGAAGGAAGTTCTAATTCAAGTAGAAGGATACTTAACAGAAGAAAGACTGGGATTCATTCATTCTTCATGGTATTTCATTTAAATCAAAAAATACGGATGTTAGTTAAATTATATTTACAGAAATATAAATTTATTTCTTAATAGGGTCCCAATCCTATAACCTAGCAGATGCCTATATTTGGAACACTCCACTAACAACAATGGGAGGCTATAAGAAAACCTGCTTTAGTGTCATGAACTGTTTGCATATGCATTTTTCTTTCTTCTACCTCCTCTTCTCTCAGAATGCCACAAGAATTTCTGTGTGCAAAGAAAAGATCCTGATTCACCACATATTAACTTGGCTTCACATGCCTATAAGTTCACCATCTTTAATGGGGTTTATTCCTAATTTAGTAAAGTTAGAAATTTGAGAAGGAAGATCTGCTATTCAAACACTGAGAGTTGGAAAAAAATGCTATCTAAAAATATTATTTCTCACTCCACCAAACAAGATTATTCCCTTCAGGGTATTTTGCAACTGGCTGAGAGTTGGAAAAAAATGCTATCTATTATTTCTCACTCCACCAAACAACATTATTCCCTTCAGGGTATTTTGCAACTAGTTCTCAGGCATCTATATATATAAAATTTCTTAAAGCAACAGTACTATAATATTACACTTGTATTTTTAGCTTAAATATAGTCTCTTTTGTCGAATATTCTGGACTCTGGTAAATTTAAACAAGGGGTTTGAGAATAGTGTTAGTATTAATTAAAAATTAATATCCAAGAGGGATAGTATAGCGCAACACTCCATTCTGAGGAGCAGAACTACAACCAGTACTAAATACCTCGCATGCTTTATATATCAAAAACATTTTCCTCCCCTTTCCATTCTTTTTGAGCTCCACATATAAAAGAGTGGCTATAAGAAAGCACAGTCATAAGGTAAGTGACATGCTTTGTATTTTGTATATAATGCATGAGATTTCATATTTCACTGGTGTTTACCCACTCCAGGAATAACACTGAAAAAGAAATGTTAAATTTTCTAGTTATTCTTCTTTGAAACTTCAAAAGGATACTAACGCTTTCAAATAAGATATAGTACTGATGTGTATTTTTCCACGTTAGATATTCCAGAGAAAAAGGTCAAAGACGACCTGTTGTGTCACACGGGTAGGCACTACATGATACACCATGCGGAGAAGGACCATTCCACACAAGGAAATCATCTTACCCAGCAAACTCTCCACCTTGGGCTTGCGCCTGGCCTGCAATTGCATCCATGATCGCATCCTGGGAGTACATGCTGATCGGGGTGTTATACTGCGCGTGAATTATGGTAGCCTTGCCGCCCAAGCCCTTCACCTCAATGGGTTTGTGCGTAGACAGGGCAGAGTCCTTCAGGACATTGGGGTTGAAACGTTCCACAAACTCCGTACTGAGTTATGCACAAGTGAGGTTTGACGGGGAAAAGAGGGGAGGAAAGGACAAAAGGGTGACGATTAAGTGAGAAAACAGGCACTAATAGAGGAATGTGCATGTGCGTTCATGGCATCTCACCACAAAAGTGCAGAGAATGAGGCAATATAAAAAGTAAGAGTTAAATGCTGGCTGTGGTAATAGACGATTTTTTTGTGTTTGCTCAGATACACAAACAGAAAGAGGCGAAACAGTTGTCATTTTGTAAAAAATCATGAGAAATCACCATGTATTTCTGTAATTTTTACACCAAGAAGTCTACCTTTGCATGTATATATATGATTGTATACATATCTATTCACACACGTATATATGCATGCACCTGGATGCACATATATGCTGCAGAGAATTCCCAATTTTTTCACTACGTCCTCACTATTTCAAATGGATCTTATAAAGCACAAGAAAGTGCAATGAGGTGAATAAATGTCAGATTCTCTATTACTTAGAAACTTACAATGTTTTCTGCATGGATAATTAATCACAGTGCAGTTTAGTACTCATGCCTTTTAATATTCAAAGCTCTCCTCATAGAGGCTAATTAATCTTCACAAAAATCTGTGTGCACTGCAAGAAGAGTTGCTATAGTATGATATATTCCCTGAAAAATCAGTCTTAGATCAAAACAACCTACATTGCAATCTATGGGACAACTGCAGTTGGAAGAGTTGTAGCCATATTTTCTAGTAGCTCCACTTATAAGTAAGGATTTCATTTGAACAACTGAACCTCAGGCAAGATAAGTGAAGTTTCCATAGCAATAGAAAGTCACTTCAATGTCAGATTTTAACTTACAAGCACCTGGCTTCCTGGCATTGCCTTGCTGTATAATGTTATCACTTTAGAGTCAGCATTCAGTATTTTTAGGAGACTTTTATTGGATTACCTAAACCTCAGACTGTTATTCCATGAAACAGGTACTCTCTTCTCTAACTACTGGGAGACCAGATTGTTCTTTCCCTGCCCACAGCAGGGGGATATAGTACAGGTCCTGTACACTAATCAGAGCAGGGCAATGTTTATTTCTTTAGGAAATAAGTGTCATTTTGAATTGAAGCAACAGCTAGAAGGGGGGAATATTCCTCACCACCAAAAAGGAATTATGAAAAGGTTATCATGGTTTAGCTGCAGTAGGTGTCTGAGAAATAAATCAGAACCCTCAACATTGCATGCAGGAAAAAGAAAAATCAAGTAAAGTTGGTAGCCATCTAGCTTAATCTTCCACTGACTACCCAAGGTGGTGCGCCACCTGTGCAGCCAGCCAGCAGAATCCATTCTATTTTCCGCATTTTGTTTGTGGGATGCCTGACTGAAGATGGACGGTAAGAGAGAGAGTTACGCATCATTCAAAATAGTTGAAAGAACATTAACAGCAACGTGCTCAAGAACAAAGACACAGATATGCACATGCTGCAGTATAATCACAGCTTTTAACCCATGCATCATTGTCATAAGGGAGGGACATGGAAAAGCTGCATTATGCATTCATGCAAAAGTGAGATCAGCTTTTTACAAAGACATTTACAATTATTTTTTCCATCAACTATTTTCTAAATATGACATGATTATTAAACTGACCTCATCTGCTTAAGGATTTTATACTCACTGTTGACTTCTCAGCATGCACATGCCTTACTCTAACGATGGCTTCTCTTTTGTAATGCACTACACAACCCGGTCATTTGGAACACACAGATCCTGGACATTTGGAACTTAGTGTTCTCCTTCCTCACCACTATCATAAATGTTGAAAAGATTCTAAATCCAAGACTTGAAGATTGCCAAGTAAACAGACTGAGGTAAAGAATATAGAACATAGGAGCTGGTTTCAACAGTTAGTTAAGGAATAAAAACTAGATCTCTCTAGATCTAAAAGAAGATCTTAGAACAGCTTAAGCTTCCCTAAAAGTAGTAGCAGTAGTAGTGGTAGTAACGATTTAGAGTTTGACTCGTATAACTGAAATGTTTGAATGATCTCTTGCAGGGATCATCATCAGATTTAGCCAAATTACCCATACCAAAACAAAACATTTACTGAAATCAACTGGATTTCTATAAAAAGAATAGAAAAGGGTACAGATTTTTGTTCTTATTTTAGCTCAGAGAATGGAGAGAGATACTAATGACTGCAAGGGCTGCTGTGTTCTAGGACAAAGTAGCAAAGGTACAATCCTAGAAACAGCTGGAGAAATTGTGCCAATGAATGCTAATTTTATGCCAAACTAGAGAAAAAAAAAACACTATCAGTGATCAGAAAAAAACAAATACAAAAGAAAGATTTAAAAAACTATAATATGACTTCCCTGTTCCACAACAATAACAACATAATATTTATAACTATAATGTGGCAAGAGTTTCTTAGAATACAAAGCAGTTAGATGCCTTGTTATAAGCAACAGAAAATGCCAGTGTGAATTATTTTCATTAAATAGACTTCTATGTTTATGCATTCTACTATTTCTATACTACTCTCACCAGTTTAAGTTTGACATGTATTTTATTGCTGAGTTTAGCCCAAACTCTTCAGCAATTTCTGGACAGCATTCTTTCCAGTGACACAAAGAGGAATTCAGAAAGAATCCTTTGCCGTTATCTTAGAAAATTAAAGAAATCTGAGAATTTAATAATTTTCCCTAAATAAAATAGATCAATCACCATTACAAGTCCATAGTTTGTTTTTATCTGAAGAAACTTTTAACTAAGGTCAATAACTTTTCAAATCTTTTCAAGACCAATATCTGATACCAGCAAATACTGTTAAGTGTGAATTTAAGGAGTAGGACTTAAAAAATAACATAAAAGTTCATGCTAAAAATACAGCACTAATATAACAAAACAAATAAAAAAGGGCTATTACTAAGACTCCTCCAATCCTGATAGCATGAAAATCATTTGAAGGGTTCAGTGGAATTATACCCTGGCTGTAGAAACTAAAAAGCTTGAAAGTAATGCCAAGAATCAAGCAATCCCAAATTCTAACTATGTTTTCAGTATTAGAACATTACCATGAAATGCTGAGCACATGGTATTCTTAGAGCCACCAATGGATGCCAGTGCCATGTAAGACACTTGCCATACCAGTAAGATTTTTTCAAATACTTGCACTAGCAAGCCAACACAGCAGGAACACCAGGGCTCATGCGATCCCAGAAAACAAAACTTCACACATACAGCGTAACACAAATACTTGGCACTACACAGAAGTTATACTAACTTGGAAGTGGTGTTGGTTATGACCTAAAAGAAGAGAAAGAGAACAAACATCAAAAACAAGGAGAAATTGTCAATAGTTTTTAGAGTGCAAGAGACAAGAAGTATTTACAGAAGTTTATGGAGGCTTTTTTCCAGTTTCTCTACAAATAGAAGCAGAAAATAAATGTACACCTGAAAACCCCAACATGACTAAGAAAGGAAAAAATGTAGGGATTATGGTTTATCCACTAGGATTTAGTAGGGTACAATGGCATTTTGGCTGACCCTTGAATGCGATTTTATTACTGTACATCCCTGGAAGTACGTTTATCTCAGAAGCACTGTTTCCAAAGTGGACAGTAGCAAAAAATAGGAGACACTTGTAGAGTATATTTCTCACCTAAAAGTAGTAAATGAGTGGTAGAGATGACATTTTTCCCTCAGATACCAAATATCTAGGGAAGAGTCTATTCTCCACAGGCTGCCCTCAGAGCATTAGTCTTGCAAGACTGATCTTCTGGCCTTTTATGTGCTGGAGAATAGCCAGACAAAATATTCATGGATGTTTTAAATCTTAAAAATAAGGTAAAAACTTTTTGATTAAGCAAACTATTTGCCTGAATTTAACTGCATGTATATTATGCCAAGAGTGGTGGGAACTAATTGATTTAGGCCTAGTCTTTCCTAGTATTCTCAGTGTGAAATGAAAACAGACAATCCAGTCCATACATTCTGTATTCACATCAGAATATTTGTTATGCACCGAGCTGAAAAAATATACATTCATTCTACATCCTGCTGTGCTCCATTAACAAGAGGTAACTGGCTTGCACAATAATCCAAGAGAAACGCAACACAAAAACTCTAAAAGTAGGCCTTAGGCCAGCCAAACTAGATGCAACAGACAGAATGTGCCCAGCCTGTAATGCCCTATTATTTGCCAGTAACTCCACAGGTTGCAAAAACAGTATTAATGAAATATGATTATTTTTACTTAGTTTCATCAAACCTTAGAACATCCATTTTTTGTTATTCTTTGATGAAGAGTAATTCATCACAGTATGACTAAAGGGAAAATGAAAAAGACTGCAAGATCAGTTGTTAAATATCACTCCTTACTTAGCTGCACAGAATACCCCTGATAGTTCTAGGCACTGAGCCTACCAACTTGCTACCAACACTTCCGGATTTGGAGTGGATCTGGAACTGATACATGACAGGGGAGAGCAATGGTACTACTTGAGTGACATGCAAAGGGCATTTCTCTCTCTCTGCTTTTGCTCAGGGAACCTTGGCTATTTCTGCTTCTTTTACAAAGCCCTACAACTGACTCTGCCACCTCTGTTTTTCATTATCAAAAATATTCTAATGAGCCAAAGCCAGTCAAGGCTCTGCACTTTTTCTTTTCTGAGGAAAAGCCATCACAGATCACTTTCTACAGTTACCGTTCTTCAGATCTCAGATTGGAGAATGCTCAGCAAGCTATACAATCCTGAATAAGGATACATTTATCAGTTTTTTCAGGAAACAGTAGAGATATATTAGGAACAAGTTGTAGCCAGTAAGCACAACAGTGATCCTATATCCATTTTAGGTATTTATAAGACAGCTGGGCACTCGCTTTAATCAAACGCAGTGTAATACTATCATGTTCTAAAGTGTACTCTGGTGGCTGCTGTAATCTTCTAATCTGAGTCTCCGCCTTGCACATAAAGCAACACATTAAAGGTAGAAGTAGAGTCCTTAAGATAGGTCTTAAAGAGAAGAACCACTCATTAGCATGAAAACATATGTTGAGAGATAAAAACATTACATGTATGCACTAAAAACAAGTTAAAAGCTATGTGTCTCACTAAAGATTTTCAAAAAAGTGAACAGATTAGTGCAGTGTTCTTTGGAAAGCATGTGATGAGCAAATCCTCTCCCATTTAAAGCCACTTTTTTTTTTTTAGCTTGATCTAAATGTGGACATGTACTGAACACTCAACTTGTTCTCTCAAAGAGGTCACACAAGAAACTTGTAACCCAAACCACCAGGCACAAACACATGTGGAGCAGGGTGACCGACCATGTAAAGAATAACTTCAGAATAACACCACAATAAAAAAGAACCATATGTAAGAAGCTATGGCTTTGTCTTCGTATTTATTGATATTCCCTCTTTCAGAGCTTTCTGCACATGAAGTTTTAGTAACCTCTATATTTGAGGATAAAGCCTTGATAATGTAAAAGTATAATAGAGGAGCAGATGTTATTCTTCGTTATTCTTCAAATGTCAAGGAAATGCTTTCAATTAATTTCAGCCTCCTGGTAGGATTTTCCAAAGAGTTTAGTTAAACCTCTGTCAGAATTCACATGACTAAGTTTAAATGACTCAGTGAAAAAGAAAGCAACGTTGAAATAGAAACATACCTTAAGATCTACCCAATTACCTGAATTCTCTCATGGTTTTAATCATATTGGTAAGTGGATGAATGCATGACAGATTGACAGCTTTGGAGCTGCATGCTTTCACAGTCCTCATACAGCATTTCAGGATGTACTGTATGATAACAATGTCCAAAGCAGCAAAGTCCAGAGCTGACTCTGCAGAACTTAGAGTGCCTTTCCTAGGCACTCTTTCATAGACACACAGTGAGACAGAAAGCGTCATGGCTGATATAAAGTCTCAAGATAGTCAGAGATAAGACAGACGACACTCAGTCATGAATAATACTCAAGAGGAAGAATAAAAGGATTATTCAAATCTGAATTTTGACTGCAAGTAAGCAGAGATTCAGAATGGTCTAAACACCAGAAGAATTTTCTGAAAATCAAACCAAACAACAACAACAACAACAAAAAACACACACACACAAAAACAAAACACCAAAAAAACCCCACAATGAAACAACATCTCACACCTAATGGTGACAGTTCCAAGATAAAACCTTGCTTCTTAGTTCAGCTTAGTGCCCCTAAACCACAGGTCTGCGCTAATGGAAAACTTTAATTATATTGCCCTCCAACAACCACAGTCAGTTATACGGCCCTAATGCAACAGAATCAACCTCTAGAATCAACAGAATAGTTGACACTGACTTCAGTTAGTGATGGATGCAGCTGTGTTGTGTATAATTTTGATAGCAATAAATAGTTAGGAAACTAAACCACCCTAAATATACACACCATGACCCCAGCTTGGGCAGATGATAGGGAAATACGTGAGGATAGTGGGAGAAAGTCAGTGAGATAAACTCCCAAGAAATTTCACCTGTTGAAATGATTCAAGAATTAGCTTTCCTCAAGAAAACAATAAATGAAGTAAGAAGCATTCTGAAGCTTATTTTGATAACTCTACTTACCAATTCAAATTATTTTCCTTTAAATACTACTTGCCTTTCTTAATTATCCCGTGCGAGAAGTATTGAGACTAGTTAGTTAGGATTGTTAATGCAGAGTGTTGAAAAGTTATCTAAATACATATTATCTAAACTCTGCATGAATCATCTAAAATATGCATATATGCCTTTTTTCAGAATAAAAAAGTCTTATTTTGCTATGACTTAAAAACTATTGACTTTATTCTTGCAGAAAGAGAGCTTCTGCAACAGGATATTAAGTACTAGAAAACATATCCAACTCAAGTGGATTGTTTGACTTTTCTGCTTCTTTTCATGTAGTCAGGTCCTTAGTATTGCAATGACTTTTCTTTTCCCCATAATGAATAAGGAGATTTATTTTAGATAAACAAGTTAAAAAAAAAAAAAGAGATTTACTTGTAAATTAAATGAAGATATATATATTTTTTCTTGTAGTGTTCTCTCATGTTAGCTCTGCTATTTCATAGTCCAATCTGCTCACTTCACACACCCACGGATAAAAGAGTCAATCTGAAATATGACAGGCTTTATTGCATAGTATCAAAACACCTGGGCAGTAACTAGAGATTATTCCTTCTTAGATACAAGTTACTAAAAAAAAGCTATAAAAAGTTAATAACAGCACTTATGACACAGTGTTCAAACTAGAGGATTCAACAGCTTTAACTTTTGACTTGTCTTACAGAGGAAAGCCAATACATTCAGGAGGGAGCAACAGCAACATACTACATGAGATTAGCATCTCGGATTCGCTGATCAAAGCCAACTTCTCTTTAGATAAGCACCAAAAATCAGATCTGTCTTATAACAGCTTCTCTAATGGCCTATAGTGATATGTGGTTCTATAAGTCTACACACAGTAATCTAAACTGGTAAGTGCCAAAGCCCTGAGGTTATCGTTACTTCAGTAATTGTGTTTCTCCTCATGTTCTGGCTACTATTGACAATTCATACTGCAATTCAGATACCAAAGACCAAGAGTTATTATGTAATGGTACTGTGTAAATCTCATGAAGATATTGGAAAATTTAATGATTCTTCCAGACCTTAATCATGTTTACAAGATAAATGCACAACAGGGTAGGTACTTCTACATTTATTTTTCAGAAAATTCATTACTTATTGGAATAGTAAATATTTTACCATGTTACCTACCCTCTAGGAAGTCCACCTTCCGAAGCCCTTCGTTTGAGACTTAATTTATGCATCTCAGCCATTTCCCTGAGAGTCTCTGCTGAGTAAAGGCCAATAGGGTTGTTATACTGCCTTGCAGGGCTCAGTTGGTGTTTGGGGCTATTACCATCAGTGAATACAGGACTTAGGTTAGAGCCTACATTACTCTTTGCAGGTGAAATGTCAGGAGTCACGGACTGGGAGGACATGGAAGATCTAACTGTGGTAGTCTTTAAGTAGGAAGAGCTATTTGAAATGCTGACATCTTGCTTGCTGAGGTAGCCTGAAAATGTTCCATTGGTTGCTAAAATACTACTCATAGGCCCAGGCGCCGTGTTAGTTAGAGGATCGAAGGTTGTTCTGCTGCCATTGATTTCCCTTTCCCAGGATGGTTCCTGTAGTAGCAAACATGCAGGTCAAGGAAAAAAAAAAAGAAAAGAAAAGAGCAATCATAGAACACATGCAAAAACAATGTATTTGCAACTACAGCTTTATAAACACATTGATAAA